AATCGCGAATAAAATAAAATATATATTTTTAAATGATATAGAAATTGTTGTTATTATTATTATGATTATAAAGTCGCTTGTTTCAAAATTTATTACAAATACAAAATTATATAAAAAATATGTAAGTTTTTTTAACAGCATTTAAGAATAAATATAAGCAACTATTTCGGACTTACCCTAATTGTTAACTAATGTATACATGCTTAGGTCAAGGTAAATATTGTATGCTGGCTTCTCATTAAAGTATTTTGGAGCATGTTGATAGAATACATATGTATGTCGACGGGTTAGATATTTGTCATTCAAGTAAAGTGAAGGTCAAATACTTTTTTTGGTCTATTAGTATACAACATAATCTTGTATAAACCGTGTACACAGTATGTACATGCTATGTTATGCCATTATATAATTATCTCAACAAAAAAGACTTGCATAAAAAGGCTGGCACTTCTATCTCATTAATTAGAGGATTCTTTAGCTCTCGTGAAATAGGTCGCAAGCGTAGTATGCTCCAAATAGTGTTTTTTTTTTAAAGTCAGTCTTTTTACAAACGAAGGCAGTATAAGTGTGCATTGAAAATCAAGTTGCGGAAATTATTATTTTTATGTACTTTGGATTTCACCAATTTATTTTAAGGTATGTTTTAACGGTAAAAAATACTTCGTAATATTTTTTATTGTAAACTATGATTTTGTTTTACTAATGTATTCTTAGTCTATATTTTCTTCTCTTTTGTCGTTTCATACAAGAGCAATCATGTAACATTCCGCTTACAATCAAATGAAACGCTTAACGAGCGATAAGGGCTTGCGACAGATGGACGCATTAATTAGTGGTTTGTGTGTTCAAGAAATAATGTGTCCTTAATAGTTTAATAGTTTTAGGTTTTTATTAGGAAATTCAGTATAATCTCTTTTAAATTGCAAATCCGAAAGAAATTCGTCCAAAACAATAGAAATAAAATTAACTTATTAAAACATAAACACAAACATGTAGTGAAAAATCAATTTAGTAATTAAGAAATTCATATTTCATAATAATATGTTGTATAATATAAATCCTTTATTCATAAAGTCTCGTAAGGTAAATTTGGCCTGATAATTAATTAAGTACGAAGACGGTGTTCTTTGATGAATCTTAAGTGAATTAAACACATGGTAGTTAAAGAATAACGCTCAATGACATCGAATGTCTTTAAATAATGCGATCCTTGTATAATTACGTTCTAGCAACATATGTTTGTACGTATGTACATATATACATATGACAAGTAAAATTAATACGTAACAATATTCAGTCATTAATATCAATATAAGAGTGTGAACTTTAAACCTAATGTTTTGTTGATCATGTATGATAACTTAATAATTTAGTATTTATATTTTGCAAAATTTTTTAGATTAATTAAATTTATTAGGTATAGGTATTTAGTCAAAATTGTGTTTTCATTTTCATTAACAATTGTCTTACATAATACATACCTATTTATATTCGAATTTTATAATAACGACTTTAGTGATGTTTTGCTCACATTGACTCACACACACACACATAAGCCTACCAAATAGCGTTGATTAATTATCTTTTCGTTTCGTACATAAAATTTTTCAAAAGAAAATATTTTTGTATTGAAATGATTTATTTAAGCATATTTTCTACGATTTTGCAGATTACCTTCGAGCTGAACGTGGAAGGGACTATGATTCACATTCTCCTGGAATATGTGAAAATTGCAGTATTGGTGTGTTGGAATGCTTCTGCTGATTGCTGGCTCATACCGTGACTTCCCGAGAGTTCACTCCGTTGTGATCCAGCACCAAACAAGTGCCTTGCAATCGGAATCGATGTTCATTGAATATAGCCATTCAATACACAAAACGTATTCAGATATGAATTAAGGTAAGTCAAGCCCAATTACAACAATACTAGCAATAAAATATATTAGTTAATTATTTATAATCAGTATCTAATACTGATGCAATAATTAAATTTTAATTAAACTTCATATAGAATTGGTTATACAAGTAACAAATCACAACGAAAATTAATTAACCAATATTCGTTCGAATCGAACAACAATCAAGTGAACCAATTATTGTTTTCATTTCCAAGAGCGATAAATTACCAACCAAAATGAAAAACTACCTAATTAGTGCCAGCCGTAATAAGTACTAATAAGTATAAAAGTTTGTACAGATACTTGGGAATACTACTCGCTTCCAAGTTTAGTTATAAGTTATTGCTTTAATATTTTATATAATGATTTCTATTCAATAATTTAGCATAAAATTTTATCCGAGTTCTTCATGTCAAGATTTTATTCTCATGAATATTCTTAAATAATTTCTCACGGCTAATAATTAAGCTTGTATTTTTATTTATATCAACAGTTTTTTATAACTTTTTCTTGTAATAGCCCCAAACATCATTCAGTGAAAATCGGTGAAACAAAGTGACCTTACAAGGGTATCTCATTTCCTCCAGAGTTATGGAACCGTAAAATGATATGATAAAAATGACGAGTAGGCTGATAAATGACTGAAAGGTGGAAATTAAAGATTGTATCAGAGTAGCGACGGAACTTGCCGTTTCACTAAATAGAACTAGATTCCAAAATAAGTTACTTGAATTTAAGATTTTGCTATACTCGTATATACCATCAAACCAGCTCACTGAGAAAAGATTATGACGCAGAATTTTAATAGTAAATCATCTGATATAGTTGACTTATTTTTGAATTAATTTATGTTTTTCCTATTTGATTCCTGCGATCTTTCCATGTTTACTTTTTCTCTTATACATTAAGAAGTTTTAATTTCTGAAAGTCAATAACGAATACATATAGTTACTTGCCAAAACCACATAATATGTTAAACCTTTCTATATTATTTCAATTATTATAAATTAAACTTGATATGGAAGTTTCAACGTTTATTTTGTTTAATTTATTTTAACAGTATTCCAAAAAAAGTATGTGTTGTCAAAAGTATATTGTTTCACGCAATCTTATACCATCCACAATAATGATTTCAATATTGTAATGTTTTTATCTAAGACTTTGGATTCGGTAGTTTTGTAGGATTTCATTATAAATGCTTTGGATTTTAAATAACAAATAGTTTTCGTGTTCAATGTAACTGGATTGTTACCTTTACTATTGGAGTAGTTTTTTGTAAAAAGCATTTATAAGGTTGACTTTTTATAAAACTTTTGTTTTTTGAGCGTATCCAATGTTACGTACATTGTAATAGAAACAACAAACCCCACATTTGAGATTGTATCTTTTTAATCTCAAATTACTTTCAAGTTTTTGAAAGGTTAGTGTTTTTTTTAAAACAATGTATTAAACCTCAACATATTGGTATATTCAGTAATTTTAATTAACTAGTTGTAGCTTGAAAGAATAAGGAACAGTATGATAATTAAAATAAAAGACAAATATGTTATTAACTTTTATTATTGAAATCAGAATAATTTACATTGTAAAAATACACATACTCAGTAATTGTTATGCTAGTGTTAACAAATTTGGCTCTATTTTACAAATATCAATTTATCAATCGGCCCGACAGATCTCAATATTCCTAAACAAATTTTATATATATTTCAGCCTTCGTAACCATTCTTTTGGTATAAGGGTGTCTACAATCGAGAGACCGTCGCTTGTCTTTGGTTATTTGCCCTTAGCACATCAAATACAAAAACTTACTTATAAGCAAAACATTTTTATTTACTAAATCTCATCTAGAACCTATTACAATTGAAAGTTGAAACAAGAAACGGTTGTTATTTTTACATTAAAATTCTTCATGAATCATTCTTATTGAATCACGTACTAATTTAGAAACTATTGTTCGAAATATTCTTAGGTATTTCATATTTTATCAAGAAGAAGAATAAAAAAAGATTATTCATGCCAGGTATCAAATTAACGCTAGCTTTTCTTTGGCATTATAAATTATTTATAAGCGAAACTATATTAAAGACCTTAGCTATTGTTATTTCTAAATCATTACATTGAACGTAATATACTAAACCATACATAGCTAAAGATCAAAATAGATGAAAATACCAACAATATTTGTTTTAATAATATGAATTTATTATAAATTATAAATCTTAGTCACAGAAGGCTTTGATTATGAGTACTTTATAGTTACTTACTCTAATAGAGACTTATCTACGTACATTTTTTACATTTACAAGTATTAAAAATAAAAGCTGCATCTTTGGAGTTCATGCATTAAACGACACTACATTTTATTACTGTCACAAATTTGAATTCTTAAGCGATATGTACGAGACGATTACACTACTAATTGACTAACCACACGCGGACTATTTAAATTCTGTTTACCTACATTCAATAAGATTTGCGACTATTACAGATAAGACAAATGAGGTTGATTTATGTTCACCCTAATACAAAGTTCTTAAACTATTCTTTTAGGATATTAGAAAATAGTTTTTCATCTTTTTATTGCGATAGCTGCTCGCATCTACCGTGCGGTTAGTAGTAGTGCTTGATTGTCCTTTTATAAACGGTTATCTAATCTAAGTAGGTACTTTATGAATATAAGGTTAATATCTATGAGTCATATTTATAATGAACTATTTATGAAATATCCTTTTTTTTTGTATCGGCTAACATTATTGGTTAAATAATACAGATATTTGAATTCTGAAGCTTTCTTAACTTTTTAGATGTAATTGACAAACTAATACGAAAAGTTAAAAAGCATTAATTAGATACAGCAGCAAACATCTAAGGTCTACCACTTAGCTTGACAGTCATAAGTTAATAAATTATTTTATACAGACGTTTTATCATTACACACCACAAATATAGGTAAAAGAAACGTAAAGGTAAGAAACGGAAATAGATTTGATTGGACGGACAGATGCTAAGGAGGAAAATTAAAAATATATTTGAAAAATACTGGCTAGTGAATAAACTGAATATCGATTTTAAAAATGGAATCATGTGGTATAAATAAAAATTACGTGAGGTTGTTTCGCCAGTCCTCCATTGGAGGTGGCGTGGTGCAGTTGGTAGCGCACCATCGGGACTGAGCTGTCGGTGGGCAGGGGCTACCACCAGGTCGTTGACGACGAATAATTCTTCGAGTTCTTAGAGCTGATCCGACGCAGTTGCCGTCATTCCTACATGGACTCCATTCACCCCATTGAGATACCCGACAGTCTAGGAGCCCTAGTAAAATTTGAAGGTTCACAAGTCGGTTCATACAATTTTTATAGTAAGCAATAAAATCAATCAGACGTTATGTGATCTTCATTAAAAGCCGAAGTAAAATATTGCATTATCAACAAATATTTTCAATTAAATAAATTCAAATGTCAACAAGTTGAAAATGCTTTCATTAATCTTGTCATCTCATTTAATTATATGTTATACTTTATACTTTTAAAGTAATATCAATTTTAGAAAAAAATATCTGAAATGCTCAGTAAAATCTATATTGAATATTTTTTATCTCGTCTGCCCGTGAACACGGTAGCTACACAGCAACCAAAACGTCGGGACTATATAGTTGTTTTAAACAATAATGCGCTTAGTATATCCGAAAACCCATACATAACTGTTGAGGAACAGAAATAGTAATATGTTTTGCCAACATAACTAGTGAATGAAGACTAACTTGTTCTTTTTCGCTTCCTTCTCTCGGCCGGGTCGGTACTGTCTCCGCGAAGTTTACGTCGTCTTCTAGCACGATATCTTCTTGCCAGACTCCGCAAAGCTGAACGCTCGCTTGCTGTAGGATTCGGTACTTCATTTGCTGATCTTGGCTCCTCAGTGCTCGCTGTGTTGTTTGTGCTGTGTGAATGAATATTATCTCCTATTATCTCTTGTTTGAACTCAAGTATGCTTATGTTTTTATACCTTACTTTTACTGATATTTTAATTGTCAAAAAGATTCAGTGTAGAATATCTTTTCACATGATTCAAGTAAAATAGTGTGTTACTTTTTATTTATTTAGAGAACAACCGAATATTAAGAATAATCAACTATCACATGGTAATTGTCGTTATGATCCCTTAAAAACTTACTACTTCATAATTATGTCTTAACTTAAATCATCACTTACATGGAGTAATATGAATACGAGCTATCTGGCGTTGTTAGAGATCCGTCTGAGTAAATCCTTGGCGCTTCAGCTCTTTCGACCTCTTCAGCGATGGAGAGTGCTCGGTTGCCATCAAGAACATCAACATTATTGTGGTTTAATTTGTCCAATTGGAGCACGTCATATTTACGGTCATCACTGTCACGATGAAAAACTTCCGAGAGCTCGTATTCCCGCAGCTAAGAAGAAATTATTATATAGAATTTAAATTATTATATGCATTAATGCACTGGAATATTCAATGGCTCTAAATGCATAAATTTCGTAATATAATATAGAATCAATCAATAGCTCAGCCATTGGAATTTAGGTCACGACTTGATTAGCTGAATATTTACCTAAACTAAAATAGTTAATATTAATACTAAATAAATAAATTTAATTTGGCTACAAACGAAGCAACGGTTGCGTGTTTTTGACAATTATATTCAATGAACATTTACTATTTGTTTTATATAATATGTAAGAAAAACAACATGAAAACATGACCAAAATATAACAAGACATTAAAGGAAAACCAATAAAATACCACAGGAAAGTGAAAGTGACACGTAATTCTAAACCGAACGTTTTAGTGCCGGCTTCACACAAGAGGAAATAAAAGCGAACCTTAATAAATTGGAACGTGGCTATCGGCGGAAGTCTTCTCAGGTGGGGGTAGAAGAAGGAGCCGGCGGGGTGCGAGGGGTATTTGGATGTGATGCGATACGCGACCCCCTGGGGGGCAGTCGGCCAGTTCGGAGCTGTGAACGTGAAACCGTTGTCCGTTCCCGCGTCCAATGGGTCCACCTAATATAGAATTATTTATTTCAAGTTATTATTTATTAGTATATATCTTATTATAACATTTTTTGTAAAAAAATACCTCTATAGTAATGCTGTCCAGCCAATTTCCGTCAACGCAAAGATCAAAGCTGTCAACTCCAATGAACCAATCCGGAGACGGTATCATCTTCGTCATCACCGAGACCTATTAAATATTAATACAGTTTTAATTAATATCACGTGATATAATTAAAATCTACCATAATAAAATTACTCCGTAAATCTTTCCACTATAATCTATCGGTTTATTTTTTGTGAGTTAATGATGAATGGAATATATTCACTTTAAGATCCACATTGACCTTTCATCTCGACCTTTGAACTCCCAATAGCGTGTCAGCTGATAAATGAACCCACATAAAAACTTTGCTGTAAAGCGGTAAACAACCGAAATTAGTCTCAACTGGCAATAAATGGCCGCGATGGTAGCTACGATAAATTCGCCTTTTATTACGGCTCGATTTGAATTGTCTACTGTTTTTTTTTATTTGCCTTTCCCGCCTGACGTATCGTAATTTTTGTTTGCTCTCTCGAGCATTAATTAGTGTTGAAATACGATATTTCGAGGGGACTGAATCGCTTGCTTTACGTACAGCCGATTCGATTGTAAAATTATTGAAGGCCTGTCATTGTTGTGCCAGTTTATGGCAGGCGTTTCGCAAAATTTTATAGCATTCGTAAATTGTGGTTTTCATGTTAAAAAATACACTGGCACGTTACAATATTGACAACGAATTCATTTTGTTAAGTGATTATTACCATTTGGAAATTGTTTACAAATACATATTTTTAAAGGTTCATTGTCAAAATAATTTTCGATAATAACACGTAAAATAAGAGTCAATTCTTGATAGAAAAAATGTCATATTAAAATAGAGATAAGCTGTTAGAATTAATTTAGTTAAATACCCTGGAGTGATTCCCATCGACAAAAAAATCAGCCTCAGCTCTGCCCAATCCTTGACCGATGGCTGCTCCGCCGAAGACGTCTAGAGTACCAGGCGCTGCTCCGAGTGTATCAGATCTACCTGATTCAGCAAACTGACGGACTGATGGAGAGACTCGTCTTCCAAGACGAAATAGCACGTATGAACGGCTATGGGATACACCTGTGAATTATTAAGATTTTTAAATAAAGCATTTTCAACTAAATCGATGTTAGATTGATCGGATCATTTTTTGTTATATACAACGTTTTAAGAAGGAAATATTAATAAAATAAAAAAGTATCATAAACAAGTCATTGCATTCAAATCAGTGTGTAATATTTTCAACTCGTTATATTTATATAGCAAAAAGTTTTCCAAAGAGGGTTGATGTCAGGCAGGCCGGTCGTAAAAACAATTAGCCGAAACTATTCGCAACATGTAAGTCAGACCCTGGCTAAAGCTGGGAAATTGCCAGGAAGAAGAATTTATATTTATATAGAAAAAAACCACATGATTACAATGAGTTACTATTTCATATTCAATAGATATGTAGTTTATCATAAATTGTATTATATTTTGACTCGTACAGTTAACAGTTTACGACAGTAATAACAATTATATTTCTCCATTTTGGTCGAATTTTCATGAGAACATCTCTAATTAAATAAAACATTTAACGACAGTTGAACTTCAAGATCTAACTTTCACTATTTTATTGTACATAAACTTAAACACGAAGTATCAAGGTGAAAATGATTTAAATGAAAATATGTATTTGCTACAATACTTAATGCAATAAGAAGTTTTTAAGATATAGTAAAATAGTAAATAAATAGGGTGGCGTTGAATAATATATATTTATACATTAGTATCGAATTATTGTTTCATAAAAATATAATTCATCTCAAAAAAAAAAACAAATTATCAGAAATATTAGGTAAATGTAAAATACAAAGCCGAACATGCTGAAGCTTTAAGTTAAATCCTTAACATAGTTTTTTAATTGGAATGTTTAAATTAATCAATAAAAGTTAAGTATAAAATAAGCTAGAAATATCGATAAAGAAACTGTAATAATAAATAATTAATTTAGAATATTTTGTTTATATTTTCATTAGTATATTTAAATGTTATCACTTTGTGAAAAGTTACAATGTAATTCACAATATTCAAATCAAATTTAAGACTTTTTTTTTAGTTTTACTTTTTAAAATTTTTATCAGTAAAATATATGCACGGTTCTAAATCTGAATAGGTATAAAGCTGTCTAAGTACATACATCTAAGTAGACTTAAGGTAATAAAAAAAGCAGACAGGGTTCTAAATCACTCTGCTATAGACGTTTTGTTGACGTAGTTTTATTATACCCTCCAGATACAGGTATAAAGTATTCGTATCAAGAAAATATTATTACAGCTATTAGAATCTTTACATTCCAAAAATTAATACAGATAACAATTTACAATCAGGAATGTTAAGCAATTATTATATGAAATAAATATATGAACATAGTGGTATCATAAACTCGACATAAAATAATTGATATATGGCTTCCGTAAATCTTCAAATGGTTTAAAAATAATATATTTTTGCTGTGTTTAAAAAAAGCGTAATTTAACCTAAATTTGTACTTCATAGAAGTTATAGTCTATATATCTCTCAATCAAGTTATATAGTATATTCTATATGTCTCTCAATCAAGTATAGTCTATAGATCTCTCAATCAAGTTATTAAATATTAATAGGTTAATAATTCTTAAACATACTTCTATACCTATAAAACAACAACATTTTATTATTACTTCTAAGTTTTGTTGTCAGAATCTAATTATATAATAAACATTTTATTTAAAAAAGTGTTAGTTTATCTGTATTTGCAAATTTGATTCACAATTGTGCAAAAACAACTCATCAAACGGAAATAAACATTTGGTTTAAGGTACTTAAAGTGTTAAAAAATATCCACATATTTTATCCCATTCATCTTTGAAGTGGAAAAGTTCAAAGTAAGATAAAAAATGGCTTGCGAAGCCGCTAGATAACCTTGGCATGAACCAAATTTATTGAATTTAATTATTCCTCTGATTTATTACTCAATAAATATATTAAATGTCACTAAAGAATAACACGAGAATTAATGTTTTTGCGAAAATAATTTAAAGCTTTATTACTGAAAATGTTTGAAAAAATGATTTATGAAACGTATTTGTTCGTGTTGGAAGATTTTTTTTCAGATTAGTATTAATTATTAAAAATAAATTTTATAAAAAAATAATCTTTAATTTTAAAAGTTTTGTTTGTGCAAAGTCTATAATAGAATCTGAATAACTCCTAATTGGAACGATTAATTTTTTTCGAACATATTTTCGATGTTCTTTTTAAAGTAAACTACTTTACGTATACATTAAAGTACTTTTAGTAGTCATTGGTAATTAATTCACCGTAAAAAGTTGTTACAGGTGCATCTATAAATTGCAGAAGCGAAAATAAACAGGACAAAAATACTATTACGATTTCGCAAAAACGCATAAATTCTCATTCACGTTGTTTACATAACGAGAGTCAGTGAGTCAGTGATACCAGAGTGTTGAACTCTGCCAATTGGCTCAAAACGAGCAAAAATAAATTAATGTTTTCACACTCAAATAAATAATAATATATTTTTGTTTGACGAATGTCCTATGAGTCTTAATCACTTACTTCTTTTCCCAGCTGTGACCACAGATTCGTAATTTGTGGTTAAATCAAACAGTCTCAAATTACTGTTCATGTCCTAATTTTCATATAAAGTGTATATATGTCAAAAGTTAAAAGACAATTCATATAACGGTTTATTGGAAAAAAAATATAAGATTAATGTTACATATTAAAACCGCCTCTATTACCGTGTTGTATTAATATTACAATTTAGTTCGTTAAAAATCATTTTATTTCAAATGTTCTAACAATTGGTTCTATAATAGTAACCCGATTAATATAATGAATGGAAACCATCATCGGTTATCTTTAAAACAATTCCGTATCGCACTAACGATCACAATTAAATGCACGCTCAGGAAACTAATGGCTCTGTTTGTAACTTGTCTCTAATTATTTCCTCTATGGAAAAATATCGTTGCTTCACATACCAGCCTACATAGAAGCTTCTAACCCATTTCATTTAGAATTAGAAATTAAAATAATGTGTCGGATTTATTTCATTTATTTGTACATATAAATCTTAAATATGCACATATATAACAATTGGTGTAGGTCACACAGAAAATACTAATTATCTACTAGTGTATGTAAAATATATCTACTAGTGTATTTAGTTTTGTTACGACACAGAATTAGAAATCTTTTATAACCCTGACAGACAAACTGACTACAATTCAAAGATGAATAAATTACTCATAAATTTTTGATATTCATTAATATTTCTTAACGAATGCTATTTCTACAAACCTGCACATTTTTAGATATCGTTGCCATGTGTATGTCTTAACATATTAGACACGACACTTAAAACTGAAGCAGTGCCAAGATTTAGTGAGTAATCTATCGGGTGACATGACTAACTCATTGTAATTTTGTTTCGCTTGGCGCTTAGTATAGAACGAAATAGGCAGGTGAAGATATGAATAGAGTGCATTACGAGTGAATAAAAATATCACTATTAATTTAGAAGTTATAAAAATATTTTGATATCCAGTTCTACTTTAACCCGAATGAATTTTTGATTCAAAGTATTAAAATTTCAATCATCCATCAGGTATTTTCTAAACCATGATTGAAATACATATATATGTACTTTTTCATTTATTAAAAAAATATGCATATTCCAGTCCCCCAATATAAATATTAACGAAACCAAATGAAAATATTAGTTGTCTTTATGAAAACGTTAAAGACAGAAGTAAGAATTTAATCAATTCATTAGTCAGGCTATGATAATTCTATTTAAGAAAACACTTAAAGCGGGTACAGACATATTTATAAATAGCAAGGTTTATAAATAGTACATCGGATTGGGGTTTTACAAGTGTAATACTTACGACTAAAGTCTAATCCTTAAATAGTGTACCAAATTTTTATTACTGGTATGTTTAAAATAAATTCATAACACATTAACTAAAAGAACTTATTTTATGGGTATATACATGTGGCTTATTATTTTGTTAGAAGTTTATTGTAGGACTTTTCGAAAACTCAAAAATAAACAAAACGAGAAGATATATTGTTAAAGATAATTAAGATCCTATTTTTAGTATAGGATTGCTATAGTATTTTTCTATTCTTTTAAATTTAAGATTGTCATGTGAAGGATTTTGGTAGTATAGAGGCCATTTCGGTGTCACTTGATACTTTGATGAGCGAGCGGTGTGTTTTAATGATGCAGTCGCTACTAATTTTGGTGTAGTGTTATCAAATAGTACAAATTAGGGATTGGTTAATATAAATTATGTAATTGTTAGTATGTTTGATAGTACATATAATATATGGCCAACCACACTCTACGTTGAGAGAATAAAAAATAGCCTTAAAAAAGCTGTTCCGAGAGTGAAAGTGAGGTAATTTTAGAAACCTGACATCATTTTAAAAATATTATTTTATTTTGAAATGCAATTAATATGTAGGAGGGCGTTGTAAGAACAGGAGGGCCTTCATGGGAACTCATACTTTGAAAGGGTTAAAGTACAGTCTATTCAATACGACACCAACTAAATCGAAACACTAGATATAACTATCACTTCGATACACAGCGATTCGTCACGAGCGCGGTGCGCGGGCGTCATCCCGAACGAAAACTCCATCATAAAGATGGCCGCCCTCGCTACCATCACAATGACGCTTCACTAGGCTAACCTCAGACAGCTAAAAGTCAACCTGACGTATGATTTTTGACGGATGCGCCGTCACGGCCGGACTGACATTCGACCGTCCTCGGGCGGTTCTCGGATCAATGAACTACAGTTGTGTCTATTCCGTTCGGCATCCTGACAAACGACTAGTTACAATCATCAAAATGTGCTATGATACTTAAGACTTAAGGCGAACATCACGTAACAATTAAGCCGGACGACAACGCCTTGTCACTTAACAGCATGTAGGTCAACTGTTCACAATTAGTAGGTACTATTGGACAGGTCGGTCCTTTGGTGGATGTGACCCGGACGACAACATTCGTCTTACCACGA